AAAATGTGTATAACTCACACATTTAAATTATATTAAGGTTTAAAGTTATGCATAATTAAGTTTAAGTTGTTGTAGACATTTCATTGTTTTTTTAACACGTGACCAAAATCTGATTTGTAAAAACAAGCCAAAGACTCTAACAGAGAGCTCACACAAGTTACAATGATTATATCTGTGCTTCGCCTATCAATCAATCAATCAGTGAGCCTAAAAAATAATAAATACATTTTTTAAAACAAGGGAGTGGCCTCAAGGTGTAGCCGCGTGGTCGATTCTGGAAGACTAAAATAACCATTGTGCAAGACGTTATGCATTACCAAAGAACCAACAGGGCAGACACACCCTGTTTATCCGTAGTAAGGTGCTGTGAGCAGATTTAGGCTGAGCAGCCACAGTTCAACCATGAGATTTCATCCAGTTCTGTCAGCGGAGGAAGAGGAATTCTGTGCGTGCCTATGATCACATGAACTACAAGACAAACATGAAGGACGATCAGACGATTGTAGTTGACAGAGGACTCCCTGTGTAATTAGTCTGTGTACACATAACGACTGCTCCCAGTATTATACAATCTACCTTGCTTGACCAAACAGATACTGGCCACATGTCCTCTTCACATGGTTCTGGTGGTGATGTTTGAGTGCATAATATTATAAAAAGTAATGCATTTATGAACGAAAATAGAAGAAGAACAAAGACGTGCTCTCTTTTAAAGGGTCCTCCTGCATTAGAGAGTAGCACACACAATAACTGCAGAATAAAGAGCACCATTTGTGCACAGCTCACTCCCACTCACTCCTGTTTGGTGCATCACAGGTCAGGGCTCAATTTCTGGGACAAAGCACTGGACAGATGTAATGCATGTTGTTATATTTGAATAAATGTTAACTTATAAGATGCAGCCATCACCCTGCATATATAAATATTTATATATATATATATATATATACACAACTTTCTGTGCTGCAATTATGTCTGTTGTGTTAAGAAGTAAGTTTATTTTGTGTGTGCATGTCTACACACACAGAAAATCCAAGAAAGCACATCCTGCTGCCATCTGTACCTGCTGAGCAGAGCCAAACTGCAGATGTGACGGGCTAAACAGGTTCCAACTGGGATCTGAAGAGAAAATAGGCTCCTACAAACAAGAAAATATCACAACCTTTCACCAGCATTGATGGTTAAAGATCTAAATGTCTTCTTCCATGTGGCTCGATATAGAGAAAATGTTTTTCACAAGGCTGAAGTCAACAATATTGCGACACCGTGGCAGCACCGGCCTACTCGTGGTGTAATTGCTCACCAGTAGCGTCAGTGGTGGGCAAGCTGTGAAAACAGATTCTGAAATAGTTTCGTCTGTGTTAACGTGAGAAGGGATCCCAAAGTGTAAAAAAAAAAAAACAGCATATTGTATCCTGAGAGTAATAAAACTTCTGGAAATGTAGAGTGAAACTTACCTCTAATGACGTAGGGGCTGATCCATATTTATCTGCAATGACACAACAGAGAGAGAGTTATTCACACCCATAAACATGTGAATACTTATTAGTGTGGTTGTTTCTAACAGACATCAGCAAAGCGCACACACCCTCTTAATTATTTTTTATGTGCGTGTACTGTACAGCTACGCAATAACAGAGAACAGAGTGAACACATAGCTCACAGTGTTACACAACATTAAACATTAAACTTCACATACCAGGAGTGTGAATGCTAAATTTAGCAGAAAAGCATGAAGCACTAAAACATGACTGTAAAACCAGCGAGTGAATAAATGATTATGTTTAGGTTTCTCTCCGCAGATACTGCACAACGCTGGAGGCACATCGAGGTGTCAGAACAAGCCACTAGGGGCCGGTTACAGTAATGTGACTGTTCATTCATAATCTGAAGAAAGACATCTAACTATCGCACTCATTTCATTCACGTCTATGAAGCCTCTGTCGAAGTGAAAGGTTAAACTCAACCTTGATCCTCATTGATTAGTCTTTAAAGTTCACCATGCGTCTTTTCTCAACAATTAACAGGAACCTAAACGGATGGAAAACCTCAACTTTCTCTTTCGCTTATTGGACAAAAGAAAAAAAAGACAAAAGCTTTGACAATCTTATCTCTTGTTCTTGTGCTGTCTTATCTGTAAATCAAGTTTAAAAGTACACAGATTACATCTCGTTCCCACACTGAATCATTTTCAGTTCCCGACTGAACAATATTACATCTGTTACAAACAGAGTTTACTTTAACCTTTGACTTGCAAACAGTGATTGGAACAAAGTGCCGGTCAGAGTAACGTCAGGGGTCAAAGTACAAACAGACATACAGTATAAAGTGAGCTCACTGCATATAGATAAGATCAGATGGGTCAGATCTGAATGATACTACACCGATTGAGGAAGTGTTGAGTCACTTCCAATTAAACGGGACTACTCGGTCGTAGGGAAAATACTTGTTTTCGTAGCGTGGCTCAGTTCTGTGCAGGTGACTGTGAGCTACAGCTAACTGAGAAACACTCGGTCCTCTGTTTGTCCCAGGCAGCCGAGGGGAGACGGCCTGACCAGACCCGTTGTCCGTCCTGGGGAAAGTGAGTCACAGAAACACCGACCTCTGTGCTGCTGAAGGGTTTCACAGAGAGCGAGAGACGGATGGGTAGATGTCCACTTCTCTGCCAGATTAAACTTTTACAATGTTTTAACTTTTACCCATCCCTGGCCTCCGAGCACATTAATAAAAAAAGAGTTATTTAAACCTGTTCAATGACACAATTAACCCAATCAGCTGCAGGAATAACATTCCAGTTAAAACACTGCGTGCACCACGTCCCTCCTCTCTATACTGTAGGTATGAATCATTGAACATCTCGGGGCAAACAAGTGTCTCATCTTGATGCAGCATTCAGGGTTGGCTCTTCTATAGGCAAAGTGGAGTGGGAGTAAATATATTCTCCCCTACGCTCCATGAATTGATCTAGCAGCGAGCATCAACAGAGCCTTAAATAACACTCGACCTGGACTCATTAGCCTGATTCTGTTTGCTCAGATTCTTGCCTGCTGACCACCGCGGCAGTGTGTGGCTCTAAACGACATCTTGATACAGCAAGATTCAGCCGTGGGAGCTCGGAGGGCTCAGTGCCGGGCCACCTCGTCCCTGACTCATGTGCAGACCATACGTAGGTTGAACAAGCATTGACTTTCTGCTGGGGGAGAAACCTCTTATCGCTGGGCTACCGAAGGCTTAATAGGTCTCACGTCTCTCTCGTCGCCGGGCCTAATGAGAATCAGGACAGCTGTCCAAAAATACCCCAGCTGCCGTCCTGAAGAGCAGCAAAGGACTCTCCTCATAATCTACGGACTCATCTGCAGTCAGACTCCTAAAGTCTGTGGATCTAATCATCACGTTTGTTCTATTTCTGGCTGCGCCAAGAAATCAGCAGGACTGGCTGAATGTGTTCATACCGACGCACACACACACACACACACACACAACAAACTACATATGCTGAGATGGAGGAAAGCTGGACTGAGGGGTTATTTAAAAGTGGGGGAGGGGAACATAAGGAGAAAGGTGGCTGATAAAGTTCCCAGGAGAGACAGGATATAACCTCAGAGCCTGAAGCTATGCTGACAGCCACACCTCCTCTTCCTCCTCCTCCTCCTCCTCCTCACAGCTATATCTCTCACATATTAAAGGAATGCAGTTAAGGGTACGAGGCGTTGAGACACTCTGTACATCTGTCTACACATCTACGTGCTGAAACAAGCTTTGCTGGAAGCCCCTTTAAATAGAAAATGTGCTCTAAAAATAATAAAAAACACTACCCAGTCTCAGTCCTGACATCTAAACTGGAACCATTGTACACCAGAGTTACCAAGCGGTCCTTGAGGCCCAGAACAATGGTAGTCTAAGTCCCAACAGTAAATCTATGATAGGCTATAATATTAAAACACAGCGAGGGGCCAAGTCATTTGGACTAGAATCATTTAATAGAGTCAATAAACTCCTATTCCTCTCATTGACAATTAATCATTTAGTCCATAAAACGTCAGAATATAGTGGAAATGTGACATGTTCATATTGTTTTGCTCAAAAAGGGATTCAACTCACAGTCACACAATAAAAACAAGCAAGTATTCACATTTGAGAAACTAGTCCCAGTGTAACTTTGTCATTTTTGCTTAAGGGATTTAAAAATCCTTAAAAATCCTTTAAAAAAAAGCTCAAAACTAACTAATTAACTTCCTCTTAATCAACTGATCCAACAATAAATCTACAAATGTTTCAGCTCGGAGGTAAAAGGTGAAGGTGGACCTTTCAGACCACAACACAGTGGCTCTACTACACCTTACTATTTAACTAATCTGCATTAAAACGTGTCAATCTACCTCAGCTGCATACATACATCCTACACACACACACACACACACCTGCTATGAACCCCCATCCCACATTAATCTGCGCCTTTATCTAAATGTCACAACACAAAATAATGGGGCAGTTAGCAGCAATGTGACTCATCCGTGTCTGGCTTTGTGCCACTTATTCCCTGTAGCTGCGATGCTCGCTGTGTAGCTTTCCTCTGGACCCAAGGTGCTCTGCAGTTTGAATGCATCACATGGTTTTTATTGTTTACTGTAGCTAACGGACTCAAAGTATTCAACGAGCCGATCTGACGCAGCCCTGCTAACACAACATGAGGCGCGTTTATAATGCAAATACTGAACAAACCCCTATCTGTTAATGATTGATAACACGGTTTAGCAGGTCTTTGGTCCCTCCAGCAGCTCTGCAGTGATCTATGATGTGTTATTAACAACCGCATCGGGCGTCTGTAAACAAATTCACCACATGGCTGGAGGCAGACAGCCACAACAACATGGCCTCTGTGTGAAGATGCTCCATCGGTTTGGCCTGTGAGGGCTGTGAAAAGGGGGAAAACGCTTCATTGTTGACAGCCTGTTGAGATATCGGTCTCTGTCGTTCAGCCGCGCAGCCTCTCACAACCAGACAGATGTTGTTAGTGGGTCCAAACACCTGGATAGAGGCTCGGTTCGTTTACCTGTGCTGCCTTCAAAGTGCAGTTTCACAGTCCCGTCTCTCCACATCATCACATCCCCGGGTCCCTCAATCCTCCTCGGGTAGTCGACAGCCGACGCGCCGGCAGACTTGGAGCTTTTCCTCCGATGTTTCTGCGCCAAAGTCCGACAACACTGATAGCACACGGCCCACGCCTGCTCCTCGTTTATCGGCTGGCTGTACAGTTTCAGGATTTCTTCCAGCGAGACTCCAACAGCTCCGTCGCCGCAGTCCATGTTCACGTCCCCGGCGCTCACATCGGCGGCGAAATCCCGGAGAATGGTCGGCGAAGTCAACATCCCGTCGTCAGTCCCCGGTCGTTTAGCCATCCTCACCTCATTATAAGCACATACCGTAAAGGAAAAAAATATAAAAACCGCCCAAAAAAGGGAATTTGTCGGGTGATATGTCGAGAGTCAGTCGGTCAGACGTTAACGTCAATCAACTGTTTTAATCTCCGGTGAGAACGGAGAGCACCAACGGCTCCAACGGCTCCAACGGCTCCAGCGAGAGGCAGCCAACACACAGCACGTTCCGCGTGGTCTCACTGCCCGCCGGTTAACTGCGCATGACTGGCTGGGCTCGTCGATGTGTTAAATAAATAAATAAATAATACAATAAAAAAAAAAATAAAAAAAGAGAGGCTGGTTCTGTCCATCAATTTAAATCTCAGGCGGAAATCGTCATTTTATGCGCCACAGAGCTTCCGCCCTCAGGTGTGTGCGCCAAACTGCATATAATATAAAATAACTCTTTTTCTATGATTGAGTAAGTTGACGATCCACGTCTAAAGTGACATATTTTATAGATATTACATATTATATTCAAAACTGTACAATTAACCCAAATAGTGAACTCAAAGCAGCAGGACGTTTGTGTGAAAGGAGTGATTTGGATTTATTTTGAGCAAATTGTTTCCCTTTTTATACAATTCTCTGTCTTTTATACAGTATATATATATATATTTGGGGCTTTTTATTGCCTCTATTGATAGTGACAGGGAAGGGGGAGAGAGTGAGGGGGTGGGCAATACACATTATTAGTATTAAGTCTTTTTGTCCTTTTTAACAGTGTTTTCTTGTCCCTAACACTTGGCCATTGTTGTATTAGGCAATTTACATTCATATTTTTTGGTTTTCTAGCACGCTTTAAATTGAAGAAGGCCTTGCGACCCCAACATGACCACTGATATAAATAATTACAAAAATAATCCACCACCTACAATTGTGCAATGTATGTAAGTTGCAATTTAAAAAGGCAGCTTGTGATTTGAAAAAATTTTCTCTTTTGAATCGTGACTTAGACATGATTAATCATTCAGCCCTAGCACAGGTAGGTTTGTAAACATTAAATTAATTCTAATGGAGCTATCAAAGTATCCAAAGACACCAAACATGTCAGACTAAAATTGGGTTGTTTTTTTTAATCAAACTTAGTGTAAATATCATATAGCTCCAATGAAAATGTGGAACAAGATGTCAGACAGGGTGGAGTGAGATGATTTTTCTGAAATTAAAGCAACTTAAGGGGAAAAACAGGAGTGTTAAAGGATTTAAATGGTAAGTCAGAGCTGGGGGAATGGATGGATGTTGATTTAGCACTGGGGTCTGTGGGACACTACACAATAACATGAACATGTTCTACATCTCTTCCAAAGCTGTATATTTATTTAGATATAGCAGGCATGTCAGTCCAAGACCAAATTGAGTGTGACTACAGGGATTATTGTCCTGTGGCTCCTGCTACTTGTGATTTCATGCATCAATTTCTTGTTTATGAACTGCACTCTGAATATTTTTGCAGTTTCTTTTTTATTGTTAGTATATTTTATTTTTTTTAACTGTGACGTGCTTCCACAGAGGCAGCCACACATATATCATATAGCAGATGTATTCAGTGAAAGCAGATTGCTGGAGTTTAATGTGATAAACATTGAACACTCAAACAATCGTCTCTTCTTCTGTCTTTTGTTACAGATGCTGCAGATTGATCATGAGACTACATTTGGAAATGTGTTATTTGTTGTTGAGAACTGCTGTTAATTGTTTGTTTGTGTTTTGTTGTTTATCACAGGGTGGCTGTGGGTAACTAAATGATGTCACTATTGTGGTGTGAGTGCCATCTGTGGGCCAATTTTGACTCCTTCAGTCCATGAGGAGGAACCACGGAGAGTAAAATGATGCATCTGACTGTTGTGGAAGAAAATACTGTATTTTAATAAGATATAAATATAAGATGAGTTTATATCTCCTCTCCACTGACTGTAACGTCTGCCACTCTAGCTCAACTCATTCCACATCATAAACACTAACATGGGAATCTCAGAAGGGCAGAAAATTACATGGATTTTAAACTGTAAATTGTATTAAAAAAAAAATAAGAAAGACAGGAAAAAGTTTAAATAATGTGAGAAAGTGTGTGAATGAAGTTTCTGTGTGAATGAATGTCGTGTAAAGTTTTAGTAGGATAAAAAAGTTGGCAGTTTCTACCTGAAAGTATTAATAAATGCTACTCTACTTGTATATCACCTTTCTAGGGTTTCACAACTTTCTAGTCCTCTGGCCACTCAAAGCACTTTTACACTACATGCCACATTCACCCAGTGACAGTAAACCCCATCATCAACAGAAACTGATATTTATTCATACAGCGATTGGAAGCATTTTGAGGTTCAGTATCTTGCTCAATGAGGAGGAGCAGCTAGGGATCGAACCACAAACCTTGATTAGTGGACGACCCACTCTATCTCCTGAGCCACAGCCGAGTAGATGAAAATAGGCCATTAAATAAGGAAGAATTTCTGGAAAACATGGATATTTGAGAATTATCAAAAATCTGAATGATAGCAGAAATGTACTAATTGATCTGAATGTTTTGGTTTAAATTTAGTTTCTAGTTTCTACATTTAAAAATGTAGAAATAGTTAAGTGACAAAAACATAGTACGGAATAATAATAAAGAATTTACTGCGTAGAAGAGCAAAGGTTGTGATCAGTGCACCCAATAATAACATTCTGACAGGGAAAGGGGCAATTCTGCATAATGAGGATAATTTAACTTTTAAACTTTTAAAGAGACTTTACTAAGAATTGAGTAGGCCAACATTAACATATAAATTATATATACTTCTTTCACCATTGCCTGTTATTAATATCACATTGTGCTTATCACTTTGAAAAGTAGGCTGCTTCTTTTACTACAGAATATAACAAACTATTTATTTTATCATATTACATTATCAGTCAGAGTTTACAGACTAATGGCTGCTAATAGATCTGATTAAGTCCCAAATTATTAATATTTAATAAGGAAACAATTTAAATAAAATGATTACATAAGGGCTAATTTCATAAAGGTGATGTTAGGTGCTGTATTTTATTTAATGAGAAAAGAATAAAAGTCTATTTTGTTTTTTTGTCACTCTAATATGTCCTTTAAGGATTTTGGACAAAATCACAATAATATAGTGAGTAAATAAAATTACTGTACTCAACTTATGTGAGAATGGGAGAACTGTATATCTAAAACTATTAAACCAGGTCTTTAAAGTATAATTAATAATGGTTTAACTCATAGAAACACATCCATGAATTATTAAAGAAGTACATTAAGCACGATAAGACTGCTCTATTGATATTGTTAATTAAGTCCACTGTAGAAATGACTGCGCGTACCACTCCTTCCTGGGTTTCACAACTTAAGAAGCTGACAACAATTTTAATTCAAACAAGAAAGAAAACGTGGCAGATCTTGTATGTTAAAATGATGTTTTCCATCACAAAAGTTGGCCTGTACACATTTGACAAGCAACACGTTATCACAAGCATTAAATGGTCCGACTCTGAATTTAATATAGATTGCCTTCTAATTACTGTCCAGCAAGTTAAATGAATGGTTTTCTTAAAATAGCCAATAGCTAATGTCTTCAAATAGTTCAATACCCCAACTCATCATCCGCATTTATCCCCTGAATGTATTTCTTAGTGCAGTTCTTTCTATGTTCATGTGTACCAGATAGGATAAATGTTTTATTTCAGACAGCTTGCTTGTGATTATATTTAGCCGGAGATTTGGTCACCAAAGCTGAATCAGTTTAAGACTGATTTACACATGCAGATCAGTCTTAAGCCACACAAATGACACATCATAATAAAGGGTAACATCATATAACATAAAAGAAGATGTAAGAGAACTGGAGGAGATATAATAATACTGAACAAAGTAAAAAATAACAAATAAAAACAGGAGCAGTTCAGATCAAGATGAGTTGTAGGCACATGCGGGTGTGTTTGTTTCTTTATCTATCAGCAAAGGCTGGAAAAGACAGTCCTTCGCCTTTAAGCTTCAAACCTCCAAAATCTCAGTTTCTAAACAGCACTTCAGGGTCTTCTTAAAATCATTTACAGCATTGACTTGAGGTTAAACAGCATCATCATTGGTTCCCACTCTATTGTTTCTCATTCACAACAAAAGGAATATACTTGCACAAAGAACTGAAGCAGATTCTTTAGGAAGGCCCCACACAGAAAAAACATTTGATGTGCAGATTGTGATTATCATGTGCATATGGGACGGTCTGTTCTCGTTTTGTCTTAAAAATGGCTTAACACAGTGACACAATCCCTGACCGGCACCATAAGCATGGGAGAAAAGCATGGTGGAGAGCGTGAACACGTGTTAGTGACCCACTCTCTGCTTCACGCATGCATTTGCAATGGCACGACAAAGATGCAGCATCCCGAGATCTTTGGATGGAGACATACGCAGGTGCTTATGTTGTAAATCGCTGAGATCGACGGCCGAGACCTTGCAAAAAAGTCACTCGCAGACACATCATCCACACACTTTATGCAAAATCACCATCCCCATCCTCTTGGTGAACCGTTCACAGCTCAGGCCATCTTCCTCCTCACAGAGTCTTGGCTTGTCTTCATCTTTCATCGCACGCGTTCCCAGGTTCGGCGTCTTCACTGCTGTTGATGCTGACAGGCTGCCCATCCTTAGACAGAGCGCCGGCCTCCTTTGATGCCCTTCTTTTGGAGTCGCGAGTAGTCTGCTGTGAGAAAAGATGTAAGATTTTTTTGAATGTCACGTCATTTAAATGTCATCCCACCGGACGGAGAGTGAGTGGGCAAAGATGTCCAACTGAGACCTGAGTCACTGAAGCCCTGCCCATAAGTGGAAGGTTAAATATATAAAACACAACAGTCAATATATCAGAGTCCGTGAAAATGTAATTTCTTAGGACAGAGGAATTGATTTTTCAGGTCTTTTTTAATGTTAAGTAAATTTTATAAAGAACAACAAACCCAGCCCTCAGTAACAGATTGTAAACTGAATTTAAAACTATAGAATGAAAGTGTCCATACAGTGTCGGAGTAGATAACAGTGTTTGTGTTAGCTCTCAAGATAAAAGATGCAAGGCAAACAGATGGTTAGTAGAAGAATCATTTTCATATTATTAATTGTTCTTCACTCTTGTGTTTACTGTCCTTGAAAAATACATAGATATTTAAGATATGTAGGAAAAAGCGTGTAAATATACTCTATTCGTTCAGAAATGCACATTTCTTTTTTTATTATTATCGATTAATCTTTTTCCATAATCAGGCCAAAACACAAAGACATTCACTTTAGTTCACTAAATGACTAAGCCGTGACAGCCCACACACTTTGGAATAAGGCTGCAACTAATATTTTTTTTCATTCTTGATGAATCTACAGTTTATTTTAATCATTTAGTCAACAAAATGTCAGGGGGAAAAAAAAACCAAATATAGCCATATAAGCAGCAAATCCTCTCATTTTATCAATAATAGTGCAAGTTAATAGCATACAGTGTACACAGTGACACTGTCATGTCCATCTACACTCTGTATGGTTGATCAGCTCTAGCCTGTGGATAATACTGTTACTTATCTTTGTCTGTGAATGTCTATATGTGTATTGAAATGTTGCCTGTAAATGTATTAAAGCCATTCTGGGCAAACTTCAATTGTATCTCTACAGACATATTTCATGGAGTCTCAGATCACAAGACATATCTGCTTATCTGTCCTGCCTCCTTCTAAGTATCATCTTTCAACTTGTTGCCTGATTTTGATTTGTTGGACTCACCTGCCGATCACTACACTCGCTGTAACTACACTGACAACTACTGACAACCGGAGTCTGACAGAAGGACTTTTATAGACTGCACATAAGAAGTAAAGATATGCTGCTGGTGCTCATATTTAGTAGTCAGACATGCCAATACCTGCTACCATTGACACCTACATCAGTCAGGGAGCGTCTGGGTCTCCTCTGGTGGTTGGAGCCAGTGGATGTGAGGGCCTGCTTCCCACACTGGGTGCCTGTGGTCACCATCCTCTTCTCCCTCAGGCTGGCCTCCAGAGCTTTACCTTTCGGAGGACAGATAAAGGCTTTGGTTATCACTTTAAAACCAGATTCTTGTCCTGAAACATTAAAACAATGACAAATATTTAAAAAACACTGCTATGTCAGGGAGTTGACAACTAGTAGTTGTGTTTTGAGTGGATCCTTTAGCTTCTTTATGAGCCCTATTTGTTGTAATCTATCATTTTTGTGTACAGTTTGGATGTAATTTGCCCTGAGACACATGCATTTTCTGGTTAAAACAGACAAATGAAGGCGACGGAGGCTCTTACTGGTGGCTACTGGTAAAGAGGTCTCTACGTCCGTGTTGGTAAGCCACGTCGATTCCGTTTCTCTGGTCCAGCTCTCATGGTACCTCGGCTCGATGATCGCGTCCGCCCGACTCCCTCCACAACCCATCGGGAAAATCATCCACGGCAGGTGCAGCTGACACGGGCTAAACACGGCTCGGGCTGCCTCACAACCGCCGCAGCATCCTCCTCTCCGGATCTCTACTGCAGCTCCATCCGTGTTTCCGTTCCCATCATCAGTCTCTGCTGCTGCTGCTGCTGCTGCTGCTGGAGGGTGATGCTGCTCTCCACAGACAGCAGCTGACCAACATTAACACACACCGGAGGTATCTGCGTCACCCGGAGGGGAGGGGAGAGGGGGGAGTGAAACCTGCATCCAGGCTGACCGCTGATTGGCCGGGAGGGAAATCAGCATCATCATCATACAAATATGCAATGGTACCAATTAAAATCACGGGACACTTATTATTTAGTGTTCAGTATATGAACGTATAATAAATAGTTTTGGTGTTTTGTTTTTCTTTGTTTTTATGTCATGTGTAGAATCGTTTTACTTAGTTTAAAAGAGGTTTACATTTAGCTTGCTTTCTATTTTCCTGTCTTATTGTTGTTTGTTTTTATTGTTATTGTTTCTGTGTGGACCCCAGGAAAATAGCAGCCACTTTGTGGAAGCTAACGAGGATCCAATTTAAGAATAATGAGTACAACTACATTATAGTGTTAAAACTTACACTATAATGTAATTGTACGCAGATATAAGGACTTTTTAAAATGTATCAATGATTTGTCAACAGTTAAAACTTGAAGGGACGTTTTATATTATAAGAACTGTGTTTTACTATATTCTCATTTATTATCTGCTTATACTCCAGTCTGTATTAACAGCAGGACCGTGTGCAGCGATGGAAGATATATTCAGATCCTTACTCCACTACAAGTAAAAGTCCTGTAGGCCTATTCAAAGCTTTAGTATGTAAGAATGATTGGTTTAATGTACTTAATGCTGCTGTAGGTAACTTTTATGAAAATAACTTTTTGTCATATTTGTTGAAATCTCCACTATAGTACATAGTATAGTACATAGTCCACTACAGTAGAACATCAGGCAGATAATCTGAGAAAACATCAGGTTCCTCTGGCTCCTCCTAGTGCTCCTAATGGCATTTACAAGAATCCACCAGGCCTGAATGAATGCAACCAATCAGAGCCCAGAAGGCTATGGATGCTTTGGGTTGGTGGTTTAAAGATAGTTGATTGTTGTGTCTCTTATTGATCCGTTGGAGCAGTCTTTCTGAAAAGACCAAAGCAAGTATGGAGGATAAACATTTTTTCATGACTTGGCAATCCTCAAATTGCTCTTATTAATAGCCGTTAAGTGACCTGTTATATAAAATTTGCTAATTAATAAAACCATTAGAACTTATAAAGGGAGCTTTATCAGAAAGGGGTAACAACACTATTAATAAGTATCTAGTGGAGAATCATTGAGATACACAGAGCACGAAAAGAGAAAAAAAGTGTATTATGAATGGTGTCCAGCAGAATTTAGTTTCTATTCTTATTTAATTAAAAGGCTTATATCTTTATACGTCTTATCATAGAACAGAACAGATAATTAAATAATTAATAAATAAATCCATATATACAGTTATTTATATACACTTAAAAAGTTAAAAAGCACAGTGAGCCGAGTCAAGTATATTTCACATAGAGTATTTATTTTTCACATTTATCTTAAATATGTGGTTCGGTTTTCAAACTGACAATAGAGTATTTGCACAGAGACCTATCATTATTGTTCTCAAACTGCTTAATATACAGAAATTATAGGAGCATACAATCAGCAAACATATTGCTTCTATATACTGTAAAATGACCTTGTCTCAGTATTTCACAGGATTATAGCTTTAGTTGGGGAAACAATGGTCAACATCTACTTGTAAACAGACATTTCTTACATGGAGCTAAAAACACATCACCTTCAAAAACTGAACAAAACATAGTCACTGATTTTTAGAGGCTTTAAATAAATACTATATTTAACATACATTTATTTTTCTCCCCATTTTACCCACATGTATACCATTTTTGTTGCTTTAAATAAAGTAGGGTGACAAAAAAAAAAAACCCCCAACAACAATAAAAATGCAGCATTTTTACAAGTCCTTTGATGGCATGAGGGAATGTTAACCGTGTCGGTGGGAACCAACTGGGAAGCGATTCACTTTTACAGCAAAGAGGAAGTGACGACAAAGAGGAGGGGCCCATATTTATGAAGGATATAAGAACAGAAGTTCAACGACTTATTCAGTATGGACCCAGGAATGTGGATGAGAATGCAAAGGAGAAAAAACAGAAGAAACAAGGTGGGAGTGGAAATAAATTAAAGCGTAACACTACTGCAGAGAGATGATGATGATGATGATGATGGCAATTTATCTAGACTTTGAATTCCAGCAGGTTGCAGTCAATCTTGTAGTAAACATACGGGTAATACTCCTGCTGGCTCAGGTTCAGCCCTGGTATGTCCATAGAGGCCTGCAGGAAAGACAGAAGATATAGAATTACACATACATTTAATTCTTGGTTGTATCCATATTTTAAAGATATTTTGATTAACCAGTAGATGTACAAAGCTACGGGGCTTCTTTGTTTTCCTAATCTTTTAATTTTCACTCAAGTCTGTTTACAAAAAGTGCACTTTTGGAGAAAATCAATCAAAAGCAATATACATTTATACAGGTGGCATCGGTAAAGAATCCTTATGTAAATACCACAGGACAGACCAGGATAGCCTCAGTCTCCGTGAGAACCTGTATATAATGATAAATGTCACAGAGCTGGTCCTGACGTCCTCCAATAATTGTACACTCACATCAATGATGGCAGCACTGCTGTCCAGGTGCTTGTACAGGTCGTACAGCACCTCCCTCAGCTTCTTCATGTTCTTCTTGTTGGGCTGGAGCAGCATGGCCTGGAAGTTCACAGGCAGCCCGTATCTATGAAACACAACAAGTCTGTCAGGGGATCCGCCTCGGGTAAAACACACTTGGACGGATGAATGCACGAATGAATGGGGAAACTAAAACTTTTGTGGTTACCAAAGTACAGAAAGAGTAGCAGACTGATGACTTTACTGTACTGCACTTTACTATGAGTCTCAACTTGCTCACCTCAATACTGACTCCACAAACACACGCAGGGCTTTTATGTGAATCCACGCAATGAAGGCTTCACTGAAATTCACTTTCAGCCATCGTACCAAAGGCCCCTGGGTGGATAGAAACAGCCATTTAAAGAATTTCTAACAGATAATAAACCTGAAATGGAGCATTCCCATTTTGGATGTTTAACAGCAAGCATTGCTTATTTTATCAATGGTATCAGTCTTTCAGCTTTTATTTAAGGCTAGCTGCAGGGCTGTGTGTGCTCAATTATACATAAGGAATAAACATACAGCTGCAGCCAAATATCTATAAAGCATAACATTCTTAGCTTCTTAACCCCTCCCCTCACCACCCTGCACATTCCATTAACTTCCCTCCCTATTTAGCGAGCAGTACTGTTTGTGAGGAAAAACCGCAGTCGTACAAACTGTTTCTTCTTGTCAGTGGACAGACGTGTCATCTCTTCTTTGTCTGCCTTCATCTCCTCCTCATTGTACTGGAAATCACGCACTGTAAACCTAGGTCAGAACACAAAGCAGAGAGCTGGCAATCAGCAGTCAGCACACACACACACACACACTCTCAAGAGCACTCCTGAAAATGGCCTAGATAGAAACACTCAGACACATTTATATAAACACATGTAATGAGATCCCTCTGTCGTTTTAATTGGAGAGACCGCCTGAGTGCTGACAAAATTGTGTTTATTATAGAATCTGTTTTTAGAGCTTAACAAGCCAGTTCCTGTGTTTACAAATAGGTAGCCCACTTCAACCACGAGGTATCATTAATACTATTTATCTGAGGTTGATTTCCTAAAAGGAGAAACGAACATCATTCATGGAAAACACACACACACACACACACACACACACACAAAAAAAAACATAATCTGCAATTCAAATTTATTTTTCGTATGATAAAACCAAAATGGAATAATTTACTTGTTTTCTCTGGCCTTGTGCTTGAAGTCATCTATAGCCTTCCTGAAGAGAGTGACACTGAACAGGCCGCTGTCGTGGTCTTCAAACATCAGTCTGGAGGAGAGGACGTGAGATCAGCGATGAGAGCAGGACACAAACAGCATGTTTGACACATTTCAGCAGGTTTTCAAAAGGATTTCCTTGTGAAAGAAATTTGAGTTTCACCATCACAGAACTTCCTTTCTTTACCCACTACAATGCCGTCAGTGGGAGCCATTTAATATATAGAAAAACATAAATAACAACAACAACTTTTTCTTTTTTCCTCAGTTTCCACTGTACTGTGGTTCTTGTCACCAGTAGTAGAAGTAGACTTACTCATGTATTTGTATTTTTCATGCTACTTTATATTTCCACAATATTCCATTGTTCAAATATTGAACTACATTTATTTGACAGCTTTAGTTACCAGTTAAAGATTCAGATTATTAATGAAGAATGCAATCAGATAATGAATTATGATGTATTGATTAAGCTACCCAGCAGTATATAAAGCAGTTACAATTAGCCCCACCTTTAGTAACATTAGTGCTCCTTACACATTTATGCATCAATAATTATAAACCAATAATCCAATACATATTATTCTGCCATTACATTTATATACAAAATAACCACATGGGGAAGTCTAAAACTGGTTGCCATAGTAATTAATCATAATGAAGCATATATGACATTGTTCAAAATAGTCATCGATTTCGCAATTTTTCCTATAATGGCCCAAAACACCCAGATGTATTAAAGAGATCACTAAAACCACATAAACAGTATGGCAAAATCTCTGGTAGTTCACAAACTTATATGCACTACATATCATCACAGTGCCCTCGCCTACCTGATAATAGGCTGACAAAGTTTATTAACTAACATATTTGGACCATCCACTGTTGTCCCACAACTGACCATGCCTCGTCTCTCGTGTGGATCAGTTTATACTCCTGTAGAGAAAGGTCATATATGATAGCTTACTCCATTTTCCAGATCTGCTGTTTGTGCTGATTCCACTGAAAATGAACTGTTTCCTTTCAGTGCACATGGTGTGACCAGCTACTTCCTCTCAGTATCAGTCACTAATGCAGGACTAGGACATGATCCCTCACTGGCTTCCCCCTCACAAACACTTTGGTTGTTGTAATAAACACAAACCAACCATGCTGGAACACCATTTATAGATATTATGAAGAAAGTATCTGCACTCAAAGAACAAATCTGCATTACCAAAGCACTCAATCTTTCCCGGGCTTTGAATGCAACGAATGATCAATGAAACGATTATTAAAAATCCTCGGTTAAGGACAACCTCCCCGCCTGTAGCTGCTTCCCGTTTCCAGGTCACATCAGCACATAGTGCTCCATATCTGTTCTGGAAATACAGGTTGCTAGGTTACCACACCACACTGAGCTGTGTCCGTCCAAAGGCCCGAACACGACGCCTCAGATCATCTGGCCTCATTGGCAAAAGGTCAATTGCTTTCTACAGGTCAATCACATAATGTTTCCTATTCTATTCTGAGTCAGTTGCTTTTTACAGGTCAAGTCATGAAATATTTCCAGTTCTAATCAGAGTCGACCAAGAGGCTAAACCCACTGTAGAGGTGACAATGTGAGAACGCGAGGCAAACTGTCTGGTCTGAGACACTTTTCAAGGAAATAAGACTTAAATGTACACAAACTACAGTCTATACATAACAAAAATACCTACTAACACTGAGCTGCGCTGCTAACGTTACAGTGTCCTATATCTCTCTGTCTGTATGTGGCATACTGACATTAAAATACACATAGATTAAAGAGCAAACTGTCGTCTTCCTATGTTTGATCATTCGTAAATTCTGGTTCGCCTTACTTAGTGGAGCGTGGAACCACCATTTCTGACAGGGTTTCATACGTCTTCTGCCAGTCTGTATAGCTCGTCCTGGTGAGGGTGGAAAGGGAAAGATAACAGCAATGTATTTTAAATCTAAAAATTTTACATTTTAAGACTGATTCCAACACTGATGTTTTGAAATTCATTACAATAACAATTTAAATGTTTCCATGGATAAAATGTATTCAGTTATGAGGGTGAAGGAGCGTCTGGAGCACTGAACTGGGAGCGAACTATCCCATATAGCTCATATTACACCTTTAAAAGCGTACTTTCTAATAAATAAGTTAGAAATAAATCATATACAAAATAAATGCATATTGGATATATAGATACTGATGAAGGTGTACTTACTTTGGGACAACCACCAGCATGGTAATCAGGTACTCTGAGTCCAGTACAAAGTCCTCTTTCTTCACTATGTCAGCCAAACTCCTGGTCAACAAGCTCCCCCTAAAGGACGACACATGCAGTTCAGTACCAGGCTACCTGAGTCCAAATACACGAGTACTGTACAAATCAAATCTTCTTTAGAGATACGCAGAGATGTGACATTATCCAAGGGAGGCTGCAAAATGTTATACATCTACAATTTGGTAAGAAGAAGTCATGTTAGAAGTCTAGAAGCTACAGCAAGAAATCATGGAGAGAGGAAGTGGATGAGGTCTAAAAATGTATATTATTGAGGAAGCAATGTAAAATGAGTTTTTACTCCCTAGTGAGGGGAGCTTTTCACAGGAAACAGAAAAAGATCTCTGTCCAAGATTTCTGTCGTTTTAAGATCCAAAACGTTCTCGTGCTCGAGGGTTCACTTCATTCTGTTTTATGGGAAAATAACTAATAGATAAAATACAAGCTAATTGTGTGTGATCAAGCTAAAAAAAAGTGCTACAGTATTTGGCTTTAGACAATGCTCCTGTAATCAAATTAGTATAAAAATAGCATATATTAATGTTATTGTTAGAGTACTCACGCATTCTTCCTCTCCAGGTTCTGCAGGTTTCCCTTCAGGTTGTTGTAGGCTGACGCTCTGGCCTTCAGGTCATTGTCTATCTGAGTTGCTTGCTGGAAATAGGAGAGAATAACATAGATTAATATATAATGTCTATACGTGATCTGTTTATGATGCTGTTTGTGTATGTACTTTAGTGTTACTGGCTACGTTGTATCTCTTGCAAACGTGATTTAATGTCAATGATATTGCCTTATTAAAATAAAAACAATATATACAAAAGCAGGACAATAATCAAACATCCCAACACACCTTGGAGACGATCTCAGAGATGTTTTTCAGCGACTGTTTGATTGGATACTTAGCCATGTCCCACTGAAATCTGGTGATATAGGTGACCAGATCCACTGTAGAGAGTAAAAACAAGCAGAATAAAGTCGTCAGCATTAATCGGCAACATTTCCATCGTCTTTGTATTTATAATGATTGTATATCTGAATACAGTAATCTATGATTAATGGTGATTACCTCCATTAGCAAGCAGGTTCTCCTGGACTTTGTCTCTGCTGTCCTCCAGAACATCGGCCATGTACTGAGCGACTTTCTTCACCACGCTGACGCACAACACGGGGTTAGGAGAGGAGTTAGAGACCAACACAAGAGGACAACAAGAGAGAGAATTGTACTAAAACAGGATGTTTGTTCACAAAACTGAGCTCATGAGTCTCAAATACAAACTTTTTCAACTTAGAAGTCACACATAGATGTACATCTTGGTGTTTCCAAAGTTTACCTTTCCACAAAAGTGTCCAGTTTAGCGAGTTCATCAGACAGACCCACTAAGACATCTAGTGTTCCGACCTGTTAAAAGACAAAACACACAAAGATATTAACTACTACGACTACGTGAGCGTGGATTCTCTGTTGTGGGGAATACAGATGAACGTTTAACCTTGAGATCAGGGATGTTGAACTTGTTGTTAACGGAGAGGTTGTTGGTGCGTGCGGTGGCCACCATCAGCTTGTCCCAGGTCTGCTGGCACGTCTTCTCCCCCGGAGCGGAGATCAACCAGAATTCTGTCATGGCTGCTGGTAAGAGGTTCGTGCACCGGGCCTTTGATGTGAGGAAGTCACTGAAGGTGGAGCATGAGGGAGAGTATTAGTAGAGCTCTATTGGATTTTATATGATTATTGCATCAATATCATGAAGTACTTTGATTTGTCGAGCATTTCATTTGCTGGATTAGCCAAAAACAAAGCGGAGAACCTTAGAAGGTAGACCCTTTAACTAAAGCCAAATGTATCATCTCACACATGCAGGCTGCACATCTTCAGTCATAACAGCAGCCATACGTAGGACTACATTTACCCAAGCACTGGGGACACATGGGCCGGGTCTGGTTCATCATAAAGCTCACAACTGTCCACAGAAGAGCGCCCCTCTCTCCTTTCTGCTCTGTTACAGACATGTTTACACTGCTCATTACTGACTCATTTTTGTAAATAAACAAACATGTTTGCAACTCATAAAACTCTTGCTTGTCTCCTAACTCTCCAAAGAGTCGGGCTGTGGCAACGTAAGCACAGTTTTGAGGAAGTATTTCCATTTGATGCTACTAAATACTCGACTACACACCACCACATTTCAAAGGTTTATACTTTTTACTCCACTATACTTATCCAACAATTACAGCTGCTAGTAACTTTGGATGTGTAGCACATTTGTAAGCAGAACACATGATCAACTTATTGGTATTAACTAAAATACTCAACTGTTGACATTAAACTATTGCCTATATGTTAATGCAACAGTAATGATAATCACATAATATAACACACACACACATATATATATATATATATATATATATATACATACATATGATACTAAACAATCCAGCAGAATGACTGGAGAATATATTTTGCTGACAGTACTTTGGCACATTTATTTAAATAACATTTTAAATGCATAACTACACATGTAATTGAGTATTTTCACATTATGCTATTATTACTTTTGCACTACAGGGGTGTAAGTCTCCCTGCATGAATCACACACATATTATAATTTGTTCCAAATCTGACCTATAACTTGCCTGAAACGTCCTCACATTATTGCCATAGTTACAATATGGACACTGCAAACACACACACACAC